TTTTATTATATTATTTTTGTTTTTATTTTTATATTTTAAATTAATATTCCAAAAGATTTTGAGTTCCAAATTTTCACCCCATATCGCCCTTCCCCCCACCCAAAGATGGCACACATTCTGAATATGCCTTGCCCTAGTCTGTCCTCTCTTCTATCTCTCTCCCACTTCTTTTATCCACTTCCCCTTCTATTTTCCTGTAGGGAAGGATAGACTTCTATACCCCATTTCCTGTATTTCTTATTTCCCAGTTGCATCTGAAAACATTTTTTTTAAACATATGTTTTTAAAACTTTGGGTTCCCAATTTTCTCCCTTCCTCCCTCCCCACGCACCCTCACTGAAAAGGCAAGAAACTCAATATAGGTTATACATGTGCAGTTATGCACAACACTACCATAGTAGACATGTTGTGAAAAACTAACTCTATTTCCCTTAATCCTATCCTGCCCTTCCTTTTATTCTATTATTTCTTTTGACTCTGTCCCTCCTCAGAAGTATTTGCTTCTGACTACCCCCTTTCCCAATCTGCCCTCCTCTCTACAATCCCCCTGCTCTCTTGTCCACTTCTCCCTGTATTTTCCTGTAGGGTAAGACAGGTTTCCAAACCCAATTGAATGTGAATATTATTTTGTCCGTAAGCCAAATCCTATGACAATAAGATTCACTCATTCCCTCTCACCTTCCCCCATTTCCCCTCCACTGTAACAGCCTTTTCTTTTCTGTTTTTTTTTTGGTTAGATAATTTACCCCATTCTACCTCTCCCTTTCTTCTTCTCCTGGTATAATCCTTTCTCATCCCTTAATTTTATTCTCCAGATATGACCAATTAATCAACTCACCCTGTGTCCTCTATCTATCTATCTATCTATCTATCTATCTATCTATCTATTTATATACATACCTATAATTTTTCACTCCCACTACCCTAATACTGACAAAGGTCTAATGAGTTATAAATATCATCTTTCCATGCAAGAATGTAAACAGTTAAACCTTAATAAGTCTCTCATGATTTCTCCCTGTTTACCTCTTCATGTTCCACTTGAGTCTTGTATTTGAAAGTCAAATTTTCTATTCAACTCTGGTCTTTTCATCAAGAATGCTTAAAAGTCCTCTATTTCACTGAATAACCATTTTTTCCTCTGAAGGATTATACTCAGTTTTGCTGGGTAGTTGATTCTTGGTTGTAATCCTATCTCCTTTGACCTCCAGAATATTATATTCCATGCCTTGAGGTTAATGTAGAAGCTGCTAAATCTTGTGTTATCCTGATTGTGTTTCCACCATACCTGAATTGTTTCTTTCTGGCTGCTTGTAATATTTTCTCCATGACCTGGGAACTCTGGAATTTGGCTACAATATTCCTAGGAGTTTTCCTTTGGAGATCACTTTCAGAGGAAGATTGCTGGATTTTTTCAATTTCTATTTTGCCCTCTGGGTCTAAAATATCAGGGCAGTTTTCCTTGACAATTTCTTGAAAGATGATGTCTAAGCTCTTTTTTTGATCATGGCTTTCAGATAGTCCAATAATTTTTAAGTTCTCTCTCCTGGATCTATTTTCCATATCAGTTGTTTTTCCAATGAGATATTTCACATTGTCTTCTATTTTTTCATACTTTGAGATTTGTTTTACAGTGTCTTGATTTCTCATAAAGTCACTAGCTTCCAATTGCTCTATTCTAATTTTTAAGGAAGTATTTTCTTCAGTAATATTTTGGATTTCCTTTTCCATTTGGCCAGTTTCACTTTTTAGGGCATTCTTCTCCTCATTGACTTTTTGGACCTCTTTTGCCATTTGGGTTAGGCTATTTTTTAAGGTGTTATTTTTTTCACCATTTTTTTGGGTCTCCTTTAGCAAGCTGTTGACCTGTTTTTCATGATTTTCTTGCATCATTCTCATTTCTCTTCCCAGTTTTTCTTCTACTTCTCTTACTTGCTTCTCAAAATCCCTTTTGAGCTCTTCCAAGGCCTGGGACTGATTCATATTTTTCTTGGAGGCTTTGGATGTAGGAGCTTTGACTTTGTTGTCTTCTGGTTGAACATTTTGATCTTCTTTGTCAGCAAAGTAAGAGAATATAGTCTGACTCTTTTTGTGCTGCTTTCTCCTGATTGCAGTCAATTACTTGAGTTCTAAACTCTTTGTTAAGGTAAGAGTCTGCTTCCAATGTGGAGAATGTAGTGTTCCAAGCTTTGGGGGTTTGTACAGCTGTTTTCAGAGATACTTGTAGGGATCTGTAAATTTTCAGTTCTTCCAAGGTGGTATGATAAGGGGAGAGGTGTTTACTCCTTTGCTGGCCTCTGCTCTGGTCTATTAGTAACCACAAGCACTCCTTTCTGTCCTGGAACTGTGAGGAAGATTTTCTCTCCACAGCCACTACAAGCTCCACCATGCTAGTGCTCCTCCTCGCCCCAGGACCGCTGTCCAGAACTGTGACCCAAATCCAAACATGGGCAAAGCAAGAAAATCCTGCCTCAGCACTGGCAAAGAGATCCATGAAATCCCTCTATGATCAGCCACTGGTTTCCCCCTCAGTCTGTAGGCCAGAAGCTCAGGAGGCAGCTGCCCCCCCAGGGCCATGCTCTTGGGGAACTAGAGCTGAGACCCCATTCTCCTCTTTCAGTACTGCAGAAACAGACTTTCCACTGACCTTCTCAGTTGTCTTTGGAGTTTGTGGGTTGAGAAGTCTGGAAACCATCACATCTGCCCCTTATTCAGTCCTCTGAGGCCTGCTCCAGGTTCACTGTGGCCTGTGCACCTACACCCCACCAAGCTCCATTCTGAGCCCTGTGTGATACACCTTTCTGATTAACCATCCAGGTTATCTTGGGCTGGAAATTTACTTCACTCTGTGTTTTTGTGGGTTCTGCTGCTTTAGAATTTGTTTAGAGCCATTTTTTACAGGTATTTGGAGGGGTTTGGGGGAGAGCTCAAGCAAGTCACTGATTTCAATCCGCCATCTTGGCTCTATCCTTTTTTAAATACATAATCATGTAAATTTCCCGTCTTTATTTTCTTCCCTCCCCCTCCTCCCCTTCCCTCCCCTTCCCCTGCCTAGAGAATGTTATCTGGACAAGTTACTGAGCCTCACATATTAGTGCTCCAATCAACTCTCTAAGACTAAGATTTTCAGAGAAGACGCCAAATTGCATTAGTAGAGGTCGTTTTCTGACCTGCTTATTCTTTATTCCAGTGAAATCATAGGTCAAGTCCTTATTCCTTTATATTAACAACATATAGAAAAACAAATAAACAAACATATTTTAATTAGCATCAAATTCCTCTCAAATTTGGGCACACTATCTTCTTTTTCAAAGAGATGATCAGGATTAAGTGACTTGCCCAGGACCAGTGTTCTAACCACCGTGCAATGTAGCTGCCTACACTTCTGTCTTTCAGACACAAGGGAAATGGGCTAAAACTTAAAAGTACAAAGTTGTGAAGAACATATATAGAGAACAATATATGGAGAACACATGTGGCAAGTATAATCTTAGATTTTGGAAACACATTTTCAAAGGGTTTAGGGAAAAGATAAGTAGGATCCCTCAGACTAAATTTCTACGAAGCATGTCAATACAAGTAGAATGGAGAATGCATGCTTAAGAATGGAATTCTGGAGCAATCAAAGTATAAATATACTTATTAAATATATAATATATACATATGGAAGTAGGAAATATATGTGAACTACCTTTGAGAGAAATACAGATTTACTTTAAACAACAACAACAACAACAATAATAATAATTAGCACTTTTATAGAATTATAAGTTTTGCAAAGTGCTACAAATATTTCATTTTATCCTCATAGAGAACAACCTTGGCAGATAAGCGCTATTGTTATCGTCATTTTACAGCTGAGGAAAGACAATAAGTGTTTAGGGCCATATTTGAGTTCAGTACTTCCAGATTCTAAATCCAGACTTCTTTGCTTTGCCACCTAACCAGGAGATGATTAGATTTAGAGTTGTAATGGATATATTAAAGCCCATTTATTTCCACTGCCTGACCCAGACCCAGAGAGAAATATTTGACTTGCCTTAGGTAACACAGTAAAAGAGTGGTGGGCCTAGGATTTAAAAGTATGTTCACTATTTCTGAAGCTAAAGCTCTGTATACTGCTGCAATAATTTTAAATTTTCTTTTAGTAAATTGATTAGCAACATTTTGCTATCATTTTGGTCAATAAAAAATCCTGGGACACTGTATTTTAAAAAGCATCTGTATTTATTTACATGTCTATATACATGTCACATTACATAGCCATTGTCTTCAACAATATTTATAAATAAAGGGTTATGAACTGTGATTTCATAGACATTGAGAACTCCAAGATCTCTCCTCTCTTCTTCTGTCCTCTCCCATCTCTCCCCCTCTCCTCCCTTCCCCTTCCCTCCCTTTCTCTTTTCCCTTCTCTCTCTCTCTCTCTCTCTCTCTCTCTCTCTCTCTCTCTCTCTCTCTCTCTCTCTCTCTCTCTCCCCTCTTTGCACCTATATATATATATATATATTTATATGCATATGTATATCTACATTTATGTATCTAACCATGTATCACCTATATTAATACATGAATCATTTATCAACATGTACAGCTGCATCTGTCTCACTTATGTCTTTCCCTATCTCTATATCATCCATATGTATACCTGGGGTATATGGGAGTTCAGGGAGTAACATCACCTCTGAGCTTGAAAGGGCTTGCTGAGCCCTTTTCAGGGCTGCTCATCCACCTTTAGTCTTCATATGTCACTCCACTCTCACCTGTGTCTCCAAGAAGCTGCAGCCTGTGTAACATCCACAACCTGGTAAAACAGTCTCAGCTGACAGGCTAAGCTAGGGTGAGGCTAAGCAACAGTTCTAAAACCCATTGGTGAGTTAGGGCAATGTCTGCCTCAAGAATGTGAAGACTTCAGCTGCTGGAATGGGAAGATGAGAACAAATCATTCCAATGAGCCATGAAGTGGCTCAAACAGGCACTATGGGTCCTTAGAGCCTGGTTCAGACATTCAAAATGCCAAGGACATTCACTGCATCTATATCATCACCAGTGATTGTGGCTTTTGTCTTGACACTGGACTTTGATGACTCTGGAAGAGAAAGCAAAGCTGATGACTTTTATGAGACTCTGCCTCACTTAAGACCAATTCATGCACAAGTGAAGATACTACCCATCACATACTAGTTTACTAGTTTATTATCTTACTACCTACCTTGAAGTCCTATGGCCACAGGTGAGTGAAGAAGCTGGCAGGTGCAGCCGCAGGTACCCTGCACGCAGGTAGCCTGGGGCACTGGAATGAAGGAGCAGTCAGATTCAGCAGCCCCCAGGGCACCTGAGCTGTTCTTGTTTGTCCTTCATTCTCAACGAGGACCTTGACATCAGGAAGGAGGTTTCATGACTTGCAAGTGAATTGGCTTTAAGTGACAAAGGGCTGTGTAAAGTCATCTTTAAAGGACCACACCGTTCTCCTCCTGGCATGAGGTGCCCTAAAGTTATCTGCTTCACCCAATCCTGACCTGCTTATCTCAGCAGGCATAGATCCTACCTGGCAATCAAGACACACACACAAAAATGTGCTTTTCTTGCAAAGATGATTTAATTCACCATTGATATGGGATGTATGCATGCTCATGGACAGCATAAAAATCTAGTTTACATTAGACACAAACAGCTCTTTTTGTAAAAGAACTCAGCAGGCACTGAATCCAAACAGCAAATGAAGGTCACCTTACAGAAGTCAGAGCTGGATACACATTTTTCTGTAGTGGCCATTGTGATGAAGAGTGCCATGAAGCTGGTGTAGGTTTTGCAATTAGATCTAAGGTAGTCAGCAAACTCGTATGTCTCCCAAAAGGAGTGAATAACAAGCTTGTGACAATCAAAATCTCCTATGACATTTCCTGATATTAAGGTAATTGGCCCCAAAAGAGACCAAGAGTCTGTAAACTATGACAGATCACATACATCTACACATTAATATATCATATCATGAACCACATATTTGCCTTCTTTCCAAAAGGAGATATATGACCACCAATGACACCAGCTTAGGAGATAAGCTCATTTTCAAAATCATGCAGTGGAGTATGTTACAATATTATTAACAGTATTACTTCATTGGTCAATAAGAAATGATGAAAAGAAAATGAGTATGCAAAATTAATCTCCAACACAATTTCTTTTATACTATAGCAGTCTATCCATTGATAATACAATGACTTCCTTGGAGTGTGGAAAGACTGGATCTCAATTTTTTGTCTCTCACTCTCTTTCTTAAGCTAAGAAAGAAGTTTCAAATTTGAAGGTCTGAAGATAAGTCATCAAGATATTTTATGGGATCCTTTGAAATAAAACCAACATAATTTTATGGAGTTAAAAGGGAGGGAGGAAACTGTGTAGTGTGGGTAGAAATATGCATTTGACCAGAACAAGATAAGAACAATGCTTTATAGTTACAATCCAACCTGGAATGACAGAAAATAAACTGTGCAAAGCAGGGCTGGCAGATTTCCCCCCTCACTAGTGAAATTTCTTGAAAGCCCTAAATGACTGACTGTTCAGAAGCCAGCAATTGAAATGGAAGTTGAAAGCTTTGTTTGCACAGGTGGTTTTCCTACTGGGAGACTGACTAGCTTCTTAGCACTGTTGTCTGCTCAATTATTCTGAGATTTCATTTGTTTAGTGTCTGCCAGATGATAACAACAGAAGCCATTTTTTAAAAAATGCTGACACATCATTTATCAAATTATCTTAATGGTATGAACATGACATACCACTAGGAAATAAAATTAATCTAGGGAGGGGAAAAATATTCAAATAGTCCAAAGTTGTTAGATAGGAAATTCCTTTCAAATTGAAAACTACAGGTAAGTACTGATAAAATCAGGTACATCTATCTTTCAAACATTTGATATGAAAGAATAATTTTTTTCTCACAAAGTGATACTTTACATTCACTGATTCCCAGAACCTGGAAATGTCTTTCTTTATCTTTCCTAATGGGTAGAGATTAGAATCTTGACAATGATAAATTCAGACTAAGAAAAAAAAGTGAACTGTGTAATTCAGATTTATCAATTAGTGATAGAAGAATAACAGAAAACAAAGGATGGGCTTTCACAGGGAAGGCTCATTGTACAGGACATTGTAGGTAGATGGGAAAAATTTTGAAACATAAACATAGTGATAGCCGCTTGTACCAAATTACATATTCTTATAGCACAGATGCACTTCAATGAGATGAATAAAACAGGGTGCACATAGACAAGCATTTGCTCTAACTGGCTTTGTAAATATTTGATAACAATTGCCTTCTGTATTCCTAATCCCTGGCTGAGGTGTCTTAGCCTGAACAATAGTGGATCCTCTGATTTGAAACTCAGAACAGAAATAGATACTGATGTTATTTCTCAGTTCCATGGCTGTGTACATGTGCATGTGTGTGTGTGTGTGTGTGTTTCTCCAAAGAAAGACTAATCTCAATTTCATAGTTTAGTGATTATTAACTTTAGTAAATCAGTAATACCCCAATCTTTTTTCTTAATTATACTTGGGAAATGTATTCCAGTTTCCCAGTTTCTGTTCCCAGGAAAATTTAGTCTGGATTTTTTTCTTCTTCAATGCTTTTAAACTGTGAGTTGTGTTTTTCCTGTTCTATCATACATTTTTTCACCTTTTGTCTTTTTTTTACTTGTTTATTTTAGAAATATTTTCATTTCCTCAAAGATGTTTTTCCCTTGTCCTAAACTTTATGAAACTGTTTCCCAATTTTTCCCTTCTTGATTATTTTTTTCATTCTCTCCATCCAATGTACTTCATTTGTTGCTGTTTGGTCATTTCAGTTGTGTCTGACTCTTCATGTCCTCATTTGGGATTTTCTTGGCAAAGATACTGGAGATGTTTGACATTTCCTTTTCCGGCTTACTTTATAGATAAGAAAACTGAGGCATACAGGATTAAGTGACTTTTCCAGAGTCACATGGCTGGTAAGTGTCTGAAGCCAGATTTGAACTCAGGAAGATAAGTCTTATTGACTCTGTCCATTCTGCCATCTTGCTGCCTTGTGTACTTCATAGAGCTGTTATAAATGCAAAGGGCATATCATTGCCTTCAACTCTAAGTTTTGATAAAACCTTGCATTTGTTAAGGATACATGTAGATAATGAACTGATTTTGCGAATGTTGTTGAACTGGGCAGCTAGGGGGCACAGTGTATAGAGGACTGGGTCTAGTGTCACAAAGACCCAGTTCAATCAATCAATCAACAAACATTTATTAACCACCTACTATGTGTTAGGTTGAATTCTGGAGTTACTAGCTATGTGACACCAGGTATTGATAAAAATGAGGCAACTAGTTTTGATAAACAGTATAAATAATATAGAATTTGTTTTTATTGTTTTTGATAATGACACACAACTTTTTGTTAGGCAATTGGGTTTAAGTGACTTGCCCAGGGTCACACAGCTAGTAAGTGTCAAGTGTTTGGTCTGAGACTGGATTTGAACTCAGGTCCTCCTGACTTCAGGGCCAGTGCTCTATCCACTGTGCCACCTAGCTGCCCCAGTACACGACTTTCTTGATATACTCCACATGGTTCTAATGGAAGGAAAGTCATTTTATGGATTTTTAGTTGCTTGAATTTGAAAATCTCATTTTAGTAATTATGGAAAGAAAGTCATTTTAGGGATTGTTTTTAGTTGCTTGAATTTGAAAATCTCATTTTAGTAATTATCATCTTTCTCAGCATTCTGCTAGTTGCTACTGGAGCAGATATGTAGAGTTCCACAGCTGTTTTTGCCCTTTAGAAAGCAAGGAGAGAAGCAAGGGTGAAGAGGCCCTTGAAAAACATCATTTGGGGGACTGTAGATTAGAGTTCCATCTGCAGCATTGTAAAATGCTACATGCCCTCTTTCATAATCAAGGAAAATGCCCACCTTATGAATAGGTCGGCTTACATGAACATCTTGATTTGAACACAAGAGGAGAAAGTTATTTTCCAATTGGATGGATCCGAGGGTAATTGTATCTTCAGGTAACCTGCAGCCATTTCTCTTCCTTCTGATTGATTCTTTGCAGATGCCCACTTCCCACTCTTTTGTATTCCCCACCTCTACTTCCCAGTAGTGTTTCCCAGAGGTGAAACTCTGAGTAGCCAAGACATAGAGAATCAGTTCAAATCTTTTCGGGTTGTGGGGCAAATCCTGTGGAACAGAAATATATTTGACATTCTTCAAATCATCAGACAGGATGAGATGAGGATTGGCTGTTTCAGCATCCAAAGTTATCTCCCCTGAAGAAAGGAAAGAAGGAAAGGAAAGGAGAAGAAGAGAGGAGAGGAGAGGTGAGGAGAGGAGAGGAGAGAAGAAAGGAAAGGCATCATTCACCTTGGGTTTCAGAACCTGGAGTTTGATAACTAAGAGGATTACCTAATGCTGGGAGAACCTCACACTGTGGGATTCTAATCACAGCCCCCACCCACTGGAATTATCCCATAATTCTCTAGCTTGTCCTGTTTCTGACATTCATTTGGATGAGTGATTCAGTTTCCTTAAAAATAAGGATGATAAGATGTGGACTCAATGATCTTTAGGATCCTCAGAGTATTTGCTTTACATTAGACCTGTTGTTTTAAGGCCTTCATTGAATATTTAGCAGCTTTAATTAAGTACCAAATCAGGCCAAGCAGTATGCCAGGCAATGAAAGATCTAGAGAAATAGTCATGTAGGTAGTATGTACCTAAAAGAAGTGATGCTATTAGCATAATTATTTTTTTTGAAATATAATTGAAAAGGCTGAGATAATAACTGTAACAATATTGAAAGAACCATTTTAAAAAACCCATTTTAAGAGGCTGACCCACAGGGGGATTCACTCGTATTCTTCCAAAGAATGCTGTCTTTAAGGAATTTCTAATCTCTCAGAGACAACTTGAGACATGCCCAGCTCAATAAAAGATAGAATGCCAATATAGAGCACATTGCATACAATATGGGAGCTCCTGGGAATTCTGAAGTGTCAATTAAGGTCACTATGGGTGACTTACTGTGAAAAGTCAGCAGCATTTCTTTTATGCCAGGGATGGGGTATATGGTCCATATGGGTGAAACAGCAACAGGATTTTGAAGAAGTAGAGCCTCATTCCTACAAAGAAAACACAATCTGTCACAAAGATTGTATAGAGATCTTAGGGACCTATCTTGATTTAAAAAAAATGCACCCAATGCACTCTAGTACTATGGATCCCAATGAGGGCCCTTTAACCAGCCAGACTCCTTCACGGACTGTGTATGTCTGAGTCAGTTTGCCATAGAATGGAAACCTACCTTTCCAATATTCCTTTTGCATCCTAGAGGGAAGAAAAAAATGAGAGAGATTTAATCTTCTCCTCCTTACTCAATTCCCAGGGCATTGCCTTTTCAGAGAGTACATACTCACTTCCCCACAGCCTTTTTTCTCTCTGACAGCTATTTTCTAGGAACACGACAATTATTGCAAAAAAAAAGGAACTCTAGAATTGTAAAGAGCCACACCATGGCCACTCTTTCATGGCTTGATGCCATCTGCCCCCTTTGGAAAATGGGGAAATCATTCCATTTTAAAGAAGTGCTATTCTTGCCCATTTCTCTTCTCCCTCTCTTTGTACAAAAAATCCATCTGTGTCCACCTATTGTTTTCATGCAGTAAGAGGACAAGAGATGAAGAAATTGGAAATAAACACTGAGAATCTGGTAGACTGGAACAAATCCTTTGTTAAAGTGGGTAGGAGTGGATAATACGAGTTAAAGATAAATTGGCTCATCTTGCACAGAGGTAATTTCAGTACAGCCTAGAAACGCAAAGCAAGGTTGCGTTCCAGCGTCATAATCTTAGCAAGGCTCTACTGACTCAGCTACTGTCATACCAAAGTCTGAAGAAGCTAAGAAACTATCAGCCCTTCTGTATCGTACACTAGAGAGGTTATGTTATGCTGATTGTTTATTGTGGAAAAAGAATATTACAATGAGTAGGGACCTTAAATCTTACCTAGGCCTACCTGTGATGCATCTCTTGGCCTACATTTGAAGTCTTCCTCTGGTAGGGAAATCACCACCTCCAGAGGGGGACCAAATCATTTTAGACAATATCTCTGCACAGTGAAAGCGTCCCTTGGGACATAGATTAGGGGATTTAGAGGTATTGAGAAATGAGCTCAAATACTGTCTCTGACCCTAAAGAGCTATGTGCTACTAAGCAAGCCTGTCAAATGCTCTGAAGTTCAGGGTCCCCCTTCTCTACAATGGGGATCATAGGTGTCTTGCCAAACTCAAAGGACTGTTGTCACTCACAGTTGAGACAACAGATGTGAGACACTTTGGATTCTTAAAGCATCAACCTAATTTCAGTAATTATGATTGTTGCTTTTCAATCCGTCGGTCCTGGTTCTGTCCTCTGGAAAACAAGTGTAATTCCCCTGAGCCTAAACAGTCAGTGCTTGGATAGAGATATCATCCCCTCCTCCCTCCACATTCCCTTTTTTTGTCCTAATCATCTCAGTTTTTGTTTCAATCGCTCACCTGGAGCATTTCCACGGGAAGCTTCTCAAAAGTTTTCTCTATTTCTGACATCGCCGTTTGCAGGTCGTGGATGTGTTGGGTCACTTTTGCCTTGCTTTCCACAAACTTTGCCAAGTTGTCTTTTACTTCTTGGTCCAGCTTTTGCAGACTGAGCTGTTTTTCTTCTGACAGGAACTTGTATTTTTTCTCAAATTCGGACTTAATGGACTGTTTCATAGCCTGGCCTTCCAACTGTAATCAAAGAAGTTAGGACAAAGTCAAGAAATGAAGAATCAATAAATGTCAAGGTGAGCATCAAACATATGTGCCAGCTAGTAATTGCCATTGCCCATCTGAGGAGATTTCTGGTCTAAGGTACCAGACGTAACTTTTCTATTAGTCTTCTCCCAAATTGTCACTTAGAAGTTCTTTAAGGTAAATTGTCTCTTAAAGGCCCTTTTCCTGAGGAGTACTCAATGATGGAAAGGAGAGAGGAAGAGTCTTCTTTTAAAGGAACAGTCCTCAAATGTTGAGCATGCGTAGTTTCTCTCCAAAACACACCAGAAAACGGATTCTTCACATCCATATTTTAGTAGACTAATTTAAAAACAATGTTCTTTTACAGGCATTTATATTTAGGCATTAAAATGTGAATCCATAACAGCAACAATATGTTATTATGTTTGTTGATAGAAATCTCTTGTAGTAAACGATTGGACTTTTTGCTTCCCTGTCCATCACTGACTATTCCTTCTATGAAGGGTCTCCAAGAAACAACATACTTACAAGTTTATAACTGAAAAGTTGCTGACTTTACATTCGTGCTTCTCTCACACATTCTAAGTCTATTTCAAGATCAACCTCCTTCCCCTTAAGCTCTTCCATATTCTCAAGAGATTATTCCACAAGCAAAAAAACAAGTCTTAGCAAAACCTGTATTTTAAATCAAGTGACCCCCAAAGTTTTAGAAGATTGTCAAACTTTCTGAGCTTTGCCCTAACTGATCCCCACTCCTAGAATGCAGTGTCTTCTCAGTGAGGTGTTTTATTTCAAGACATTGTTTAATTCCATACTCTCCTTCACCTTTTCCCAATCATCATCTTCTGTGATCTTAGTGTCTAAATGAAATTTTGTTGATCCTTCTTCTATTTCTTCTGTATTTACTTACAAATATCCTTATCCTCTTTGTGGTTAAAGGAAAAGCCCCTGGGGTGAGAGGATTGTTTAATTCCTTTGACTTTTATTCTTAGGGACTAGAAAAGTACCTGGCACCTAGTAGGTCCTTTATAAATGTTTGATTGGCTGACTGATATTTTTTTCTCTTTTTTTCTTTTTCCTCAGCAAGCACTATTATGTTTTCCTCTGAGGAATCATGACCCACTACTAAAGAGTGAGCACCTCACACTTGATTAGAGTGTAAGTTCTCAGCTACATGAGCACACCTAGTGAAGGGCATAGCCCCCTCAAGCTTTCATGGCTCACCCTTTGAGGACCCCTGCTCTCCTTATTGTCTGGCTACGCCAGATCCCCACCAAACCCTGCTCAGAAAAGTACAGATGCATTTGGGAGAGTCAAATGAACAAAAGGGAACTGGCCTTTCTTGTAGCACTCTGGAGGTGATAGTTCAGGCACCTCCTACTGCTCCCATCTGAAGCAGTGCTAGGTATTTAGGTGATAAACTCACCTCGATCATTTGCACAGGCTGCTCCTCTGAGTTCATGGGCAGATTGAGGGTGGCTTGGGCCTGGCTGGCCTTGCTCTCCTCAGCTGACATATTGTCTCTTGTTTCCTTGTTCAGTCTTTGCAATTGGAGCTGTTCTTCCTCCAAAAAGAACTGGTGCATTTTCTCATATTCAGATACAACCAAGTCTTTGAGAGACTGGCCCTCCACCTATCACAGAAGGAATGAGGATGAAAGGAGGAAAGAAAAGTCAACGAGTGTCAGGTCCAGGTCAGCACCAAATATTCATGCTGGTGATTACTTTCTTTTGTCCATCTGAGCACATTCATGAGCCGTGTGGACAGGCACAGCTTTACTCTCTGCCTTCCTCAATTTTTTCACTTGTAGCCCAGTAAAGTGGAATCTCTCTTTAAGACTCTTTTCCTAAAGAGTAGCTAATGCTGGAAAGGCCAGAGACAGTCTTTTGTACAAAGGAATCAATGAAGAGTGCTGAAATGTATACAAGACACTGATTCTTTCTAAAACTCTCTAAAGCTAAGTAGAATTTTTTTCTACTTATAAATATATGTAGATTATTATTTTATTTTTTAAATGTATTTATTTTTAGTTTTCAACATTCACTTCTATAAAATATTGAGTTCTAAATTTTCTCCTCACCTCTCTCCTATAAATTATCCTTTGGAAAAGGTTTACTGTTACTCAGGAATCAAAATGTTCATGAACAACAATTTTGAGAACTTTCACCTTTAATCTGAGTTTGTTCCTTTATAGAAATTACTTCTTATGCATCTTTACATCAGTTACAATTCCAGCTGAAAAGTGCTTTCAGGAGCCAGGGAACCTTCCACTTTTATCACTAAAAAAAAGCCAGATACTTACCTCCCACTGTGCCACTCTCATTTCTCCCCATTCCAATTCCATTTGAAATTTCTCCTTCTTACTCTTTAAAATATTCCATGTTGCCTGGAGCTTCTCCTGCAAGAAAAAAAAAAAAACAACGAAAAACAAGTCTTAGTCCAGTCTCTGTTTTATGCCAAGAATGTCCCTAGCTGATCATGGAGACAGTTGAATGAGCAGACAGTCTACCTTTTCGAGGGTAGGAAGGGAACAGATCATCTTACCATGCACTGACCAGCAGCCTTTTCCAGGGGAAGGACCTTGTGATCCTTGTGCTCTGTGGTTAAAAAGCAAGGCCCACACAAGGGTCTGCAGTCCTCCTCACAGAACAAGGTCTCTTCTTTCCCATGTTTCTCACAGATAGTCAGGTCCGTAATGCTCTGCAGTAAGTGAGGTGCAAGCATCTTGCCAATGATGGCCAGATTCTGCAGCCTCCTATTAGGCAAGAAATCTCCAAATTTAATGATTGCCTTGCAATTTGGGCAGGTTATTGGTTTGTGGGCTTCCTTCCAGCAGTTGAGAAGACACTCTTTGCAGAAGGTATGGCCACATTTGACAATCACTGGGTTAGTGAAATAGCTGAAGCACATGAAACAGGTGATTTCCACTTTGAGGTTTTCAAGCAAGTTTTTGGCATCCATGTTCCTAGGCCTGGGGAGACAAAGTCAGTGAAAATTTTGACTAGGGCATTCTTGTGCAATAGAACACATCTCAAACCTATGGGACAGATTTATTTGCAGGGATTAAGAAGTAGTAGATGGCCTAGACCATAATTGAGCCATATCCTCCCCATTTCCTAAGCAAATGGATCAGAGATTTTGATTCTCAAGCAACACTCCCAGTATAACCAGGGAAATGAGAGTCTAGGAACTCAGAGAACATGGGCTGAGAGGTATGATACACGACCTTATGTGTGTACCTCATCTCTAGTCTTTTGTTTTTCTACAATAAATTCTCTTTGTCTATTTCTGTGTTGATGGTTGTTTTCTCTAGGTACAGCTCCATTCCCCATCTTATTCAGGACACAAGTTTGTGTCCCTCCATCCAGAACAGAAGATAACTGAGGAGGCCCATGGTCTGTCCTATCTCCCCATCTCTAGTCATCCTGAAGAGGATAAAAGCTGTTGCCACGTATTCATACACTTTGGCACAAGGGATCATGGAACTGATAGCCCTAGAGCTGAACCTGGGCTCTTTCACACAATGATGGGAGCTCTCATTCACTGCTATTTATTCCTCCTGCCTTCTACTCCTCTTATCTCCCAAATCAGAGTCACCATGTTCTGAAAAATAAGCCTCTTTAGTTTCTTCTAAGTCCTTCCAAAGGTCACTAGTTTAGCTTAGTTTATTTGTTACTCTTGGGATAACAGCTTATTTCCAAGGGTCAGCACAATTACATTTTTAATTATGTGAGATAGCAACAGGGTAGGTAAAACCTCAAACCATTATTATTTCCCCCCAAACTGCTTACTCATTAATTAAACCTGTATGTATTTTGTCAGTTCCTAAAGTTAAAATCCATTTACTGAACTGAGATTACTTTCATCTTTCTAAATGTATAATGGAGAAAAATCTTCCCAAGAGAAGCTTACCTTCTAGCTCTTTATTCAAGGATAGTCGGCTCAGGAAGGGTAACTGTAGCTCTTTCCTCTGAGCTGGGGCAGCAAATGAGTGCAGGACTGAATTGTTGGCTTCTTTTATAGGGCTTCATTGTTTAGCCCCTCCCCTCTACCTAAAAGTGTAAACTCCTATGGCCAGGTAGTACTTCTGACCTCTGCTTTGGGGGGATTCTCACCTATGTGGGTTTTCACATTTGTAATTATATCTAGTAATGGGCCGAAGTGTTCAAAAGGTGTTCACATCTAGGCAATTCATGCCAGAACTGCTCTGTTAAGGCATTGTGTGGTTTGTCACTTTGAGTGAGGCAACACCCATTCAGTGAATGGGCTTGTTGAAGAAGTAAGTCAAGGTATGGCCCCTTTAATAAATTTTAAAAAAAATCAAGCTGGGAGGGGAAGACCCTCAGGCTTGTTGGCCAAAAGAGAAACAAATATCATTTACATTCACTCTGAGCCAGGAGGACCCCAAAAAATTACTATTAAGTGGTGATTGGGGCATGGACCTGTTGTTGTCCAATCAATGAGATCCACAGTGAATTGGGTTTAAGCCAAGGTCTTTGAGAAAGAAATCCAGCCAGTAAACCCCAAGATAACTAGGTAGGTTTCAGCCATCAAAATTTACCTTCCTTTGGGTGGAACACCCTCAGGTAAGCATATGATATTCCATTTTTGGAGAGGAGTGGAGAAGAGGAGCTGAGTTGTCTAACTGGAACTGACCAACTGGGTCCCCATTTGGGCGGCTCAGACTACTCACATTTTGTGATTTTTCATTCTTGAAGAGGACCATGACATCAGGGATATGATGGCATGACTTGCATTGAACTAGCTTTGAGTGGGGGAGGGCTGTGCAAAGTCACCAGTCTCCCTTTTTCTTCCGGGGTCAGCTGGGTCCAGTGGCCAGATATAGATCAGGATGACTGCAGATGGCTCCAGCTATCTATTAAAGAAAGAGCAATGGAGGAAATTTTAATAGTAGGAGCCATCTGAGGCTCAGAGTGGTTCAATGACTCATCCAACGTCATACAGTTAGTACTGTATGTCACTGTTTCTCTCTTTTAAAGTGTTTTTTCCCTTAAATTGTCATAAGTAATTGAATACCAATTACCTATTTATTTCTTATTCATATTTATTTTCTTTTTTAAATTATCATTTCTTTTTAACACTCCTTTTTTTTAAGAAAAATGTATATTTTTATTTAAGAATTGTAACTCCTGGTCTGCACTCTCATCCTTCCCTATGAGGGGTCCCTGCTTCCTGGTAGCCACAAGCACTAGCTGCTATCTCTGTCCTAGAACTTTGCTGGGGTGCTTGGGTCAAACCTTGGTACCTCAAGCACTTATTTCCCACCTGGTACTTTAACTGGGAACTGGGTATAGACAATGGAAATACCAAACATCACTAGGTCCTGTGACCAGTGCTAGCAGAGGGTGCTGCCCCTCTACCCCTAGTATAAGCCTCTTTTTACCTTCCCCCTTCCCACTCCCACCCACGGCTATGGGCAACAAGACCATGGATCAGCTACACAATGACTCTCAGATCTCTGAGGATTTCCAGGTGACTAATTCTCCTAAACACAAAAATCTAGGACACAGAGACAAAAAGCATAAGAAGCAGAAGGAAAAAGACCTGGAAGAGTCCAAGCACAGCAATGGTCAGCACAAAGCTTCCTTCAAGAAGAAACACAGAGAAAACCAAACACAAAGATGTTAGCTCAGAGAAAAAGACAAACATAAAGATAGAGAAAATGAGAAAGGAAGGAAGAAAAAGGAAGACCATCTGGAGATGCAAAAATAAAGGAGAAAGAAAATGGTTCCCTCCAGTCCACCTCATATTAAAGATGCACCAGATGGTGATGGTTATTATGCTAGATCTATAGAAGATATAAAATCTTGAAAGAGACCTCGAGAGGATGATGCTGCTGATTCTTAGCCCTAGAAAATAAAACCAGAAGACATCAAAAAGGTGAAGACGTGGAAACCAGAGGAAGAGGAGGACAAGAAAGCAAAAATAAATAAATAAGTGAATGAATGAGCAATTAATTAATTAATTGATAAAAAATAAAGAACAAAGAAAAGAAACTTTCTGAACCAGATAAGATGAAGCAGCTGAAGAAAGAGGAGGAGCAAAAATGGATACTGTGGGAAGAAGAGCTCCAGCTGAAGGCATCAAGTGGAAATTCCTGGAACATAAAAGTTCTATGTTGGCAGAGGTAGTGGCGGCGGCGGCTGCAGCTGCTGCTGCTGCTGCTGCTGCTGCTGCTTTCTACCTTGGCCTCAATAGGCCTGGCTCCGGAGCCAGATCAGAGTACCGGTCTGAGTAAGCTGAGCCTCCTCTCCCCTCACCCCCGACCCTCGCCCCCTTTCCACTTCTGCCCGGCACCTGGCTACCGCTGACAGGACGACTGCCCTATCAATGTGGATTTCGGAGAGAATGATTCTCCCAAACACAAAGTTAGAGAACACCGAGAGAAAAAGCACAAGGAGAAGGGGAAAGACCGGGAAAAGTCCAAGCACAGTAATAACAGTGAGCACAAAGATGCCTCCGAGAAGACACACAGAGAAAAGGAGAAAACCAAGCGCAAAGAGGCCAGCTCGGAGCCACGCAAAGACAAACGCAAAGACAGAGACAAGGAGAAACGAAAGGAAGACAAGGGAAGACCATCCGAAGAAGTGAAAAAAAGGAGGAAGAAAATGGTTCCTCTAGTCCACCTCCTCTTAAAGATGATAAACATGATAATGGTTATTATGCTTCATCTAAAGAAGATAGCAAGCCTTTGCAGAGACCTCGAGAGGTTGATGCTGCTGAATCTAAACCCAAGAAAATAAAACCAGAAGACATCAAAAAGGCAAAGAAGTGGAAAGCAGAGGAAGAGGACAACAAAGCAAAAAAAAAAAAAACAACCCAAGAACAAAGATAAGAAACTTCCACACCCAGATAACAAGCTGAAGAAAGAGGAGGAGCAAAAACGGAAATGGTGGGAGGAAGAGCTCCAGCCTGAAGGCATCAAGTGGAAATTCTTGGAACATAAAGGACAGGTGTTAGCTCCAGCTTATGAGCTTCTGCCAGAAAATATCAAGTTCTACTATGAAGGTAAAGTCATGAAGCTGAGTTCCAAAGCAGAAGTGGCTACATTCTTTGCAAAAATGCTTGAACGTGAATATGCTGCTAAGAATACCCTTAGGAAAAATTTCTTCAAGGACTGGAGAAAGGAAATGACAAATGAAGAGAAAAAGTGTCACCAGTCTCAGCAAGTGGGACTTCAATCAGATAAGTCAGTATTTCAAAGCCCAATCAGAAGCAAGGAGGCAAATGAGCAAGGAAGAGAAACTGAAAATCAGAGAAGAAAATGAAAGGCTGTTGAAAGAGTATGGTCTCTGTGTGATGGACAATCACAGAGAGAGAATTTCCAACTTCAAGACTGAGCCTCCAGGTCTTTTCAGTGGATTATGCCTGAAGATATAATTATCATTTGTAGCAAGGATGACAAGGTTCCTTCTCTTCCCCCTGTAGATAAATGGAAAGAACTTTGACATGATAACAATGTGAAATATCTCATTGGAAAAAAAAAAACTGACCTGGAAAATAGATCCAGGAGAGAGAACTTAAAAATTATTGGACTATCTGAATGCCATAATCAAATAAAGAACCTAGCCATCATCTTTCAAGAAATTATCAATGAAAACTGCCCTGATATTCTAGAACTAAAGGGTAAAATGGAAATGGAAAGAATCCACTGATCACCTCTTGAAAGAGATCCCCAAAGGAAAACTCCTAGGAATATTGTACCAAATTCTGGAGTTCCTGGGTCAAGGAGAAAATATTGCAAGTAGCCAGAAACAATTCAAATGTTGTGGAAACACAATCAGGATAACACAAGATTTAACAGCTTCTACATTAAGGGATGGGAGGGCTTGGCTTATAATATTCCAGATGTCAAAGAAGATAGGATCACCCCCAAGAATCACCTACGCAGCAAAACTGAGTATAATCCTTCAGGTGAAAAAATTGACATTCAGTGAAAT